GGGCAGCGCGCCGCGTCACGGCCCGCACGCCAGCCTCGTGCACGTTCATCATGCCCATCGTCGCCTCGATGATCAGCCCGAACCTCCCGACCAGTGGGAGCGCACCCTGAGATCCGACGCTGCGAAAAAATACCACATCGCGCCACATCACGGCCGGAGCCTTCTGTAGACCCCATCTTCCCGCGGCATTTGGTCGAGCCGGATCGACCTGTGATGGTCCTGCCTGGGGCCCGGAACCGTGCGAAAACACGCCTGGATCTCAGCGAAGTCACGAGCGGCGAAATCGTCAGCAGGTCCGGCATCTGGGGCGCGATCCCGCGGCTAAGCCGTCGCACGGACACGCCCCGCGCGGGGCATCCGCGAGGAGGCGGCCGGTATCCGCGGGGTCGCGGCCCAGGCGCCAGCGAGGCCGTGGACACGGACGCGGCCGGACCAAGGACCGAAGAACATCCCTCAAGAACACGAGGCCCTCCGCCGGCCGAACCGAAGAGAGCATCCGAGTGTGATCACAGCAGGGAGGGGCCCGACCGCAAGAAGCCTGCCACTTAAGAAACCCAGCCCCGAGACCCCGGGGCGTGGGAGCGCCGCGCCGCCCACGGCAGAACCATCGACACCCAAGAAACCCGAGGCACCCTGGAGGCAAAAACGGGGTGCTGCTTGGCATGGGCTCCAACTGTACCCTTAAGTCGGGCCTGTCCCCCTACAGGGGGATTTTGGGCGGAACTTAAACATATTCATAAAAGAAAACTCAAAAAGAAACCCACAAATAGTCAACAAATAGCCCCCATAAGTCCCCACACTATTTTTGAATATTCCCCCTGAAGAGGGACAGGCCCGACTGAACTGCACCCTCCCACAGGATGCGCAAGAACGCAGCCCGCGGACGCGAAGAACGCGAGGGCGCCCCGCCCCTTAGCCGACCTCGATCTCACACCTCGGTCCGGCCGCGTGCCTGCCGCCCGCGGGGCAGGCCGAGGCCGGGGGCGGGAGCTGCGCCGCGGCTTCGCTCCGCTACCCCTCGCCCGCGCCGCACTCGCAGGAGGAAAAACGCGACACGAACACAAACTTTCGGCGCCCCGCGCGGATTACCTGGATCCGCGCTGGGCCCCCCTCCCCGGCGCGCGAAGCGCGCCAGGGGGGCCGGAGGCGCGAGAAGGGGGAAGTGAGAAGGAGAAGGCCTTCTCAGAGGGCCGCGGGACGGCGAGGCTTCTCGGAAGCCCCCTCGCGCCTCCTGAGAAGCTTCTGGTGTCTTTGGAACATTTCTCGAAGGCCGGGAAACTTCCGAGCCTTCTGAGAATCGGGGGCGTCCAAGAGGAGGGGCGTCCAAGAGGGCAGGGGGGGAGGGCGCGAATCGTGGCCGGCGGCATGCACGCGGCCCAGGAGGGGGCCGGGGACGTGTTGAAACAAGCAGAGGCGCCATGAAATCTGGGGAGACGTCATGGCCCCCGTTACGATATCCTCACACACACACACCCCTAGCCTTGTGGATGCCATGATAATGGACACTCTAACAATCCTCTCATTGAATGAAAGACGTGTTTGAAACGTGTGAAACACGTTCTGAGAATGCTTCAAACAGGGTAAACCATGTTTGAAGCATCCTCCAGGCATCTGGGAATTATTGGGCAGCGTGCTTCCTCTCCATTCATCGGCTTCCACAACCCTGGTCATCACCCCCCTCCTGGCCGACCCCTTCTCGCCTCCCCCCCGGCCTCGCCGCCGAGCCTACCCAGAGGGTCGGGGGACGTACTTTTTACGCCCAGGGCGTAAAAATAATTATGTTGGATTGGGGTCGTAAAACGGGCGGGCGTCCGGGAACGGGGTGTAAAAGTATGTGCTGCACGATCTCGGAACATCCGCGGGCGAGGATAGATGGCCGGAAAAGATACACCCCCATCCCCCAACTTAAAGCCAGGAGGTTGGCACCTATATATATATATATATATATATATATATATGTAATATATATATATACTTATATATGTAATCTATATATGTATATATATATATGTATACATATATGTATATATTATATATATACGTATATAGTACACAAATACATATATGTACACAAATTTGCGTATAATTCCATGAATGTGTATATATAATGTAGATATATGTATATATAAGCACACGTTTTCACATGACAACCAACGCCGAACAACGCGGGAATGGCTACCCTCATAATTGGCCCTCTCGGCCCCCTGGCCCGATCGGCCCTCTGGCCCTCGGGCGCGCGCGCGAGGCTCGCCCTCGCAGGCGATCGGTGGGGGAGGGCGGAGGATCGGAAGGGGAGGAGAGGGGCGAATGGGGCGGGCGAGGGGGACGAGGAGGAGGGGGACGGAGGAGGGAGGAAGGGGAGGTGGAGGAGGATGGGGAGGAACAGCTCTCACACGAGCCACCGTTTTGAAAGAGCACGCCGAGCGCGGCGGAAGTATGCGGAGGGCGAGGGAGGGAGGGGGTCAGGTGAGAAGGGAGGGGGAAGAGGAGGGAGGGGCAGGAAGGAGAGGAGGGAGGGGGGCGGAGAGGAGGAGAGGAGGGGAAACCTTGGGGGTAGGGGCCTTTTGTCGTTAGGGGTTCCGCGGCCTCGCCCTCGACCGCCGCCGCACGGGGGGAGGGGGGGGGCAGAACAAAAACAACGACTGCCCGCAGGCGGAGGGAGGGCGAGGGGGGAGGAGCAGACGGAGGAGGAAAAGGAAGAGGATGGGACATGCTTTCCTCTCACGAATGGTAAGTCCTTCACGGGGCTTCTGCGCGTCTCGAAGGTCGGTGCGTCGTCAGCGCAGGCGTTCAACATCGGGGAGGTGGGGAGAGGGGCGAGGAATCAAGGTTTACAACTGTTTTTTTTTGTTTTAGGGTCAAGAGATGGCATTCCAAATGCGATCGCGGGCGTCCCAGCACATGTAGCTGCTGCGGCTGCAGTGAGCAAAGCTCCTGCGGTTGGGGTTGCAGGAGGGAATGAGGTTAGGATGTGGTTTAAGAATTTCGGAGATGTGTTATATGTTTTCGCTGCCTGGCCCGATGGGGGTGGAAGGGGCAGATTTGGGGAAGGGCGTGGTGGAAGAGGGGGCGAGTGGAGAAAGAGGAGCCTGTCGGCTCCACGGGGCAGCAGGCCAGCTGCATGCACGACTACCCTCATCTCTCCCATGTCATCCCTATACTCCCCCTCCTCCACCGCGCCACTCTGGGATTGGGGCGCGGGCTGGCATGCGATACCGCGGCCGCTCGCGAGGGCGGCCGATCGGAACAACATGGAAAAAACAGATCCCGCGAGTTAAACGAGGCTGGAGTGGTCCTTCTGCTCCTCCTCCTCGTCCTCCTCCTCCTCTTCCTCCTCTTCCTCCTCCTCCTCCTCCGGAGCCTCTTGCTCCCCACCATCTCCGACGCCTCATGGGGGCGCGGGCTGGAATGCGATGCCGCGGCCGCGAGGGCGGCCGACAGATACGCATGGAAAAACAGATCCCGCAAATGTAAACGAGGCTGGAGTGGTCCTTCTGCTCCTCCTCCTCGTCCTCCTCCTCTTCCCCCTCTTCCTCCTCCTGCTCCTCCTCCTCCTCCTCCTCCTCCCCCTCGTGCTCCCTACCATCTCCGACGCCTCATGAGGGCGCGGACTGGAATGCGATACCGCGGCCGCGAGGGCGGCCAAACGGATACGCATGGAAAAACAGATCCCGCAAATTTAAACGAGGCTGGAGCCTCCTCATCCTCCTTCTCCTCCTGCTCCTCCTTCTCCTCCTCGTCCACAGCGTCTTGACGCACCGCATCACCTCCATATTATCCTCATCATCCTCGTCATCCTCAGTGGCCCAGGATATGAATTCAAGAAACAGCCGTTCCTCACCTGCAACGCAGTGCCCAGGACATGACGAAACATCATGTCACCTCTGGCGTTGCATCGCAGCGCCCAGGATATGACGAACCAGCCGGTCCTCACCTGCAGCGTAGTGCCCAGGATATGACGAAACAGCCGTTCACCTCTGGCGTCGCATCGCAGTGCCCAGGATATGACGAAACAGCCGTTCCGTTCACCTGCGTTGCAGTGCCCAGGATATGACGTACCAGCCGTTCACCTCGGCATCGCAGTGCCCAGGATATATATGTCGAACCAGCCGAAACTCCACCTGCAGCGCAGTGCCCAGGACATGACGAAACGGTCGTTCACCTCTGGCATCGCAGTGCCCAGGAAGACGAACCAGCCGTTCTTCTTCGCCTGCGTCGCAATGCCCACCTCACGAGCGGAATGCTGCTGTCGCGCAGCCCATGGTCTGGTGGCCGAAACTTGGTCAACTTGCTACGGAATGTAAGGATAGTACAGTCGGGGCGTTGACCTAAGGAACCTTAATTCAGGAATGGGGCCCTTTTTTTTTCCATGCGTTAAACTTCGATCCACCATCGAAGACCAACGGACAACCTAAGGCAAGCTGCGAAACAATTAAGGAGCACGGAGCCCCTCCCCAACGAAAAGGGTTCCCTGTCCAGCGCCCCGACTGTATATTGTCGGCTTTGATTGGACAGGACACGCGAGAGGGTACACGACCCTGCCAGAGGCCATGTTAGCCATGGGGGATGTAGGAGGCATGGGTCGCGAGGCACAGGACACAAGGGTACCTAAGAAGACCCTACTGATCAGGGCCGACTGTAGGACCCAGATCACCTACTTGCATGCTCCAGTCACCTCCTTGTAGGACCCCGGTCCTATATAAGCCCCGTAGGGCCTAAGTCACCCAAGTTCGCGAATCGCGTGCGAAGATCTTCGCGCCCTCGCGCTGTCGCTCCTGAGACGGGCGCGTCCCCTGTCCAGGCCGCGATGCGCGATGCACGGTTATCTTCGCGCCATGTGGGGGACCTAGAGGACGGGGAGGAGAGGGGAATGGTAGGGGAGGGGAACGATAACCCATCATCCTCGATATCATCCCTCATCATTTCTCCCCTCTCTTGCGCAGCGCACTGCTCAAATGCGCAGCGATCCCACGTGCACGGCGGCCCATGGTGGGCCGCGCTCATATTTCATCGGACACGTCGACCACTGGCACAACCTTGATCTCCTTCGCAAACGACACGATGTCTGCGATCGCCGTGCACATGGTCGGCGTGTAGTGCTTCAGCGGCTCCTTAGCACCCGAACCTGGGCAGCACGAGCCCGCCTCTCGTTCGAAGTCCCTACATGCAGCTACGTCTTGAACCTTCCGCCCCCTCCAAAATCCCCGACAGGAGGAGGAGGAGGAGGAGGAGGAGGAGGAGGAGGAGGAGGATAATGAGGAGGAGGAGGAGGAGGAGGAGGAGGGGGAGGAGGAGGAGGAGGAGGAGGAGGAGGAGGAGTCCGATCAGCCCGATCTCCAGAATTGCCGATTCAGCACGATTACTCATTATTATCCGTGCCACCTTGGACCCAGTGGCCAGCAACCTTTGTCATTGTAGACTCAGCCTCCTCGCCCTCGAACTCTGAATCCTTCACCTGGAGAGCGGAAACGAGCTAATGAATGTAGAGTCGGAGGGATAGCGGAGGAGAAAGTATAGAGACGGGGATCGTTGTTAGAAGGGGGGGGCTACGTTCGCATCCGATATCGCCTGGCTACGCACCATCATGTATCGCTGGTGCTCTCTGATAAAGTACGCCTTCTGCCAGAGGCTGGCGTGTTTGTGGTTTTGCGTGGTGAACCTCGGATAGTGGCACGTGGACACGGCCATGGGTTTCGGCTTCAGCGGCGCCTCTCGAATCCAAACGTTGCCCGACAGGGCTTGACCTAAACACTGTTTTGCTGGACTTCGGCTGTGATTTGTTTTTCGTTTTGGCAGGGGGGCGCAGGACAACAGGTAGAGCAAAACGAATAACAAAACGAAGCCACAACGAAAGAACGTGTTTAGGTCGAACCCTGTTGCCCGATGTCTGCTGCATCTGCTGCTCCTCCTCCTCCTGCTCTTCATCTGTCCTCCTCCCCCCCCAAGCCGCTTGTGCGCCTTGGGCTTCTGGAAGTAGATCTTGACCAGCTCGTGGATCTCTGGGGGCGTCGTCAGTCGCGTAGGCAACGTCCGCGGGATCTCCTCACCTGGAGCACGCGACTGCAACGCGGGCGATAAGGCGCGGGCTACCAGATGTGGGAGGTGATGGAGGGGAGAGGGCGGGTTACCGGAGGCGGGAGGGGATGGAGGGGAGAGGGGGCGAGAGGGGAGGGAGGGAGAAAGGGGCACCAGGGGATGGGCGCGGCGTCGGCCACGGGGGTTAGCAGCGAGGCCGAAACAAAGGCTGGACACGATCGAGAGATCACTCGAAACTCAATTCCATTGCTGAGATCAAGCATGACGACCAAAAAATCGAATCGCCTCCGAGCCAGCCGTAGACGTCCATCAGCTTGAGGTATTTGCGCAACTTCACCTGGGCTTGAGCGAACCCACCGTGACACAGGGCCACACGCGAATCATTATAGCACGCGCCCCTTCGAAGGCCAAGGGCCCAGAGGTTATACATCCCAAGGTGTGGAGGGGGTGGGTGGGGGGAAACGGCGAAGAGCGTCATAGAGTACCCCTCCAAAGCGAATGTTATTTTGAACATTCGTGCCAACTGTACAGTAGGGGCTCGCCCGCAAGAAACCTCCAACGAGAAACCCAACCTTGAGACTCCAGGACGTCTATTGGCGCGGGAGCGTCACGCTTTCCATAGCAAATCCAGCGAAACCCAAGAAACCCAGGGCACCTTGGAAGCAAGCAGGGTATTTCTTGGCATGGGTCTCCACTGTAGTGGAGCCGTCGGATCTGGGCTGCGGATCTGGGCTGTCAGATCTGGGGGTATCTTCCCGACCTTCCGTTGCGACCCATCCCATCCTCGTCATCTTACGGCTTGTCACCTTCGGTCATGACATCATTGATCTTCACCGCCTTCATCATCAATCGCATCATCCTCCTCCTCCTCCTCCTGTTCCT